AAAAGTCTCTGGAACAGCATGAGATTGCCCCTTGGGAGTGACCAGAAAACAAAGATGCTTTTTAAAGAATAGCATAAGGCGTACTCTCATTTGAGAGTGTCCAGCCCAGAACCCCTACAGAATTGGAAGCTGATTCTAAAGCAGACACTGTGTCTCTTCCAGCTGGTGTTTGTCAAGCCTTCTGTTTCTAATGGCATAAATATAACTGACTGCTGCTGAAAAATTAAGAGCATTTCTACTCATGAAAAAATAAAGAAATTGGAGTAAAAAGACCTTATTAAGAAAAGAATTTCAGTGTTCACTAATTCATGCTGCTCTAAATTTCTTGGATTCAAAGTCAACAGCAGAAAAAAATCTAACTTCTATTAAAAATGGAGCAATAAGCTTAAAACTTTGTGTCTGTGTTTGGAAAGCCCTTTACCATGTTGCAGAAGGAGAACATCTTCAGGCTTTTAGTTTGGGAATAATGGTACAGTCCTGGCATCTTAGCCTCTTCTTTGTTTAGGGCCAGGATTCCCCTTCAAATTTCTGACTTGTTTCTGAGTATGCTTGTACCCATGAGTTGGAGGCATAAAGTGGAACATAGAAGGAACATCTCTACCAATGCTTATGGCCTTCTCCACTGTGGACGGAGTCCCTCTTTGCCATCCCCAACTTTGGCTGACTTGACTTTAATTGGTATTTCATTCTCCCATCCTAGTGGTATCTACCAACTGTCTCCTGTGGAGGAGTCTTGGTCCTGGCCATCCTAGTGTTAACCTGGTGACAGGAAGACCAGAAAGAAGCCATAATGATTCCTCTTCCACTAAGGCAGATCTGCCTGACTCCTATTGTTAACTCTTGCCTCCTTCACATCCCTCTATCTCTAGATTGTGAAAGGAGTTGTTCCCTGGTGGGTGAGCTCCAAATCAAGAAATGAAATATGAGACCTAAAAAAATCTTGGGTGACAGATTCTGTTTGCAGAAGATGTTGAGAGACCATCAGAGGAAGCGGACACTGGGGATGATGTAAGCTGGAGACACGAGGAAAACTGGGGCTACCGGCACCCATTTTTTATGGCAAAAACGATACACATTGACTTTTGAGTATTCCTTCTCTATAACACCCCCTCTGCCCTGATTTCTTAAATAACTCTTTTTAGTATTTAATCACTACTAAGTTCAAAGGCAAAAAAACCTTAGTTTTTCTATATATGAATGTTTCTCTTGTTCTAGAGTTTGCCTGCTTCACAGAAACCTACACAATCTGAGAGTAAAAATTCCTTCCTTTGGAAGCTTGTCATTCAATTTATAGCAATATTGAAAAATAAATACATTATAAATTTGTTATTAGTGTCTGAACAAACTCTACTCTGATACCCATATCTTAAATGTGGTCTTCTTATAAATAAACCCAAGTTATACAGAGTAGATATTTTTGTGCATTTCAACCGTAACACAGTGACTTTAGGACTATAAATAGTTCTAAGAAAAAATGAGTATTTTATGTACTTTAATTTTTTTCTCAAAATTTCCATTCCCTCCCACACTTATACACACAAAACCCAAACCATAAAAAGGTGTTTTTTAAATAACTTCTAAATTCCCCACTATGTTATGTTTCCAGGCCAGATTACAGTTAAAACAAAGTTTTGACAGACAGAATAACTTATCACTTAGGCCACAAATCTTAGTCTTTGGGGAACAAAATGAATCATAGCACAGTCTTCTGGGCACTGTCTTTGTATGTTAGTGGTCTATCTTTTCCTCCCAGTGATGATGTGATCTGATTTTTGATGACGTAGGAATTTGGCAAGTGGAGCCTTCCCATGTCAGCTGTCTTCCTTCCCTACCAGGGATGCACACTCCTTGGTTAGTTTGGAGAAACAGAGCAGAAGTCAATGTCCTTTTGTTCCTAATTGTATTCTCTTTGTTTTTTTTTATACATTTGATGCATGCTTTTGCTTATAGCCATGTCCATTTACTTTTCCCCATTAACTCATCACACATGTATCAAGTGCCTACCATGTGAACCTGGACTCTGTATTAGTCTGTTTTCATGCTAATAATGAAGACATACCTGAGACTGGGTAATTTATAAAGGAAAGACGTTTGATTGACTCACAGTTCCACATGGTTGGGGAGGTCTCCCAATCATGGTGGAAGGCAAAGCAGGAGCAAAGGAATGCCTTACATGGCAGCAGGCAAGAGAGAGCTTGTGCAGGGGAAATCCCAATTGTAAAACCATCAGATCTTGTGAGACTTAATTCACTACCACGAGAACAGTATGGGGAAACCGCCCCATGATTCAGTTACCTCCCACTCAGTCCCTCCCACGACATGTGGAAATTATGAGAGCTACAGTTTAGGATGAGATTTGGATGGGGACACAGCGAAACCAGAGCAGATTCTGAAGCCAGATTTCCTGGTTAATACCTCAGTTCTGCTGCTTAGTAATTCTAAACCTTGGGCAAGGTCCAGTGCCTCAGTTTCCTCATCTGTAAAATGAGGGTGACAATAGTACCTATCACATAGGTTGTCTTGAGGATTGCATGAGTTACAGATAAGGGGTTTAGAATATTGTTTGACTCATAGTAAATACTATGTAGGTGGTGTTTTTACTGTTGTTGCTGCAACAAATGCCAGGCCATGGAATTTACCTTGTTGGCACATCAGTTTCCCTAAGACCAACCTCTTTAAAGCTGGGTACCCAAACATGTTTCTTCTCAAGGCACTTTCCTTCTAATGTCATGGGTACTGTCTACCCAGGCCTGATTTATCCACATCAGAGTTCCCCAGCCTTGAAACTGTTGGTTTTGTGGACCAGATAATTATTTCTTGTGGGATTGTCCTGTTAGAATGTTAGCAGCATCCATGATCTCTACCCAATAGATGCCAGTAAGAAACTCTTTCAGTTGTGACAAGCAAAAAATGTCCCAGACTTTGCAAAATGTCCGTCTGTGGACAAAATTGCCTGCAGTTTTGAGAACCACCTATTTAAACTGGTAAATCCTCCTGCAGAGGCGGCACTGTGGCTGCCCCCTGCATTCTAAGGTGGCTGCTGGTTACATGTTGTCATCTTCTCTTCTCCCTGGGCTTGTTTTTGAAGCCTGGAATATTTCTCTTATTCTTGAGTTTGCCTGCTTCACAGAAACCCACACAATCTGAGAGTATGAAGAGTTTGAAGAGTCGTGTTAGATCTGCCTCTTGAACCATATGTTTGGAGGCACAGGGTCATTTCTGCTGTTATACTGAGGTCTCTGTAGTAGGAGGGGCTCCTCTTTAAAGTATTCTCCCCCTTCTCAATCTTGTGCTTTTCTGGAAAGAGGAAGAAAGCACATAGCCTTCTTCAGACTTCTGATTGCGGCTGCCCTTGAAGACAAGCCTCCCAGCCCTTGTAGCTTAAGGAATTTACTGCTTATCACTACGGAGAAGAAGCAGGTGTCCCAAAATCTCACACTTGGGAAATCTTGCTGTGTGAGATGGGGCAGTATGGTCCTTGGTCCAGGTTCTCCATGCCCCTTGCCCTTGTTAAGAGTGACACAGATGGTTAATGTTGATCGAATGCCACCATATCCCAGACCCTGGGCTAAGCACTTTATAAGGATTGGCCTGTTAATTTTTCACATTTGCCATCTAAGGCAGATATTTTTGTCGCAATTTCGTAGATGAGGAGACCTCAGCATAGAGACATTAAATCCACTGCTACCAAGCAGCAGAAGCATGGATTTAAACCCAGGCATCTGGCTGCAAAGTTCTGAACCCCAGTGATGCATATCCTCCCATCTGCTCACATGGCACCATCTCCCTTGGTCTCTAGAAAGTGGCGGCTTGCTCCTTGGACTGTCCCCTGTTTCTGCTCTAGTTAGATTTAGGCTCCTACATTCCATCCTGGTCATATACAACTGACCGTCATTAGATTACCCTCACGCTGACCTGAAATGTGATGGAAGTAGTTTCGTTTTGTTGTTTTGTTTTCATGGTAGTAATGTCACTGAGACTCATCCACTCTCCAAACCCTATTTTTTGGTTTTCCCTATGCTGAACACTAAACCCATTTCTTCCCTGCCTTTAGGCTGACCTTGAGCTTCTGCTGATAAGTCTCCTGTGAGGCGTAAACTGACCTTTTAAATTGCATTAAAACCTTTGAGCTAAACCCATTGGCCACAGAGTTTACGTTGCTGGCAGCAGGTTTCTTAACGCCTACATTTCCCTAAGACTAACCTCTTTAAAACTGTTAATTCTCTAAGCAAATAGTGGTCACTTTTAATACACGTTCAGCTCCTTCCCAGATACAGGATTCCATATAAGCCAAATATAAAGATCTTAGGGTGGAAAAAGATTATACCTAATTTAAAGGGCCTTTGCTGGAATTATATTGTATTGCATATTGTTCAAAATATGTTGGCACTGGAAAATGTGGTATCTTTTTCCTCCTGTGAGGTTGGTGGTTTATGCGAACAGGTTATGATTTGGACCCATAAATCCATGCATTACCTGACGTCTCTTTGGCCTACCTTGCTTTCGTTGTGCTGAAGCCACGTGGATCTGCTTTAATTTTTTTTTTTTTTTGAGATGGGGTCTTGCTCTGTCGCCCAGGCTGGAGTGCAGTGGCCGGATCTCGGCTCACTGCAAGCTCCGCCTCCCGGGTTTACGCCATTCTCCTGCCTCAGCCTCCCGAGTATTTGGGACTACAGGCGCCCGCCACCTCGCCCGGCTAGTTTTTTTGTATTTTTTTTTTTTTGGTAGAGACGGGGTTTCACTGTGTTAGCCAGGATGGTCTCGATCTCCTGACCTCGTGATCCGCCCATCTCGACCTCCCAGAGTGCTGGGATTACAGGCTTGAGCCACCGCGCCCGGCCTGCTTTAATTTTCCACTTTCTATTACAACCGTGGCTTTGAGAGCATTGTCCTTAGAGTGAAAAAAATAACAACAGCATCTATAGAAAGCACTCAGAGAAAATGAAGGCCATAAAATGTCAAAGTACGAATGAATTTTGTAGAATCTTTGTCTGAGACTATTTCTGAGTAGCATCGAGAACATTCTGTTCTCTTCCTTTATTTTCTTCCTGTGCCTTTCACAGGGAGGACAGGTCACAGAGACACACAGACCCGCAGGAGGAGGGCTTATTGTTTAGTATGGATTTATTCGTTGATTCAAATAATGCAGGAGGTTTATCGAACACCTACTGTGTGCCAGGCACTGGAGATATGCTTCCCTCCATGGAAGAGCCCGGAGCCTAATGGGGAAGACAGGAATAAACGAGTGCAGTGCAATCAGGAGGTGCATTGCAATGGTTAAAGTCTGGCTAGAGTTTGGGATCACAGAACAGAGTGACGATGATGACAGTGACAACCAATGTTTATGAAACACTTTCTATATCCTGGGCACTGTGCTTTCTACACATTATCTATTTTTAAATCCTCAGAACAACTTTGTGTAGTAGAAGCTACTATTGTCCCCTTTATACAAAGGAAGAAATTGAGACTCAAAGAGAAGATTTCTAAGTTGAATCTTAAAAGCCAAGTAAGAATTATCCAGGGACAATTTAAAAAATCAATAAGATGCAATGCAGGGAAAAGAGGCATTATCCAGAGGGAAGAAGGAAGAGGCCATGATTCTGGGATGTGAAATAGCATATATGAAGACACGGAGCAAATGGATGAGATGACCTTTGTGTGCCAGGGTGGCAGTGGGAGCCGGGGCAGCTGAACCTCATTAACACAACCTGGTCCTGCCCATGGTTCCGGGATTTCAACCGTGTGACCTGTTGTCGTGGAAGAGTAACCTGTGCTTCCCAACATCCGACTTCAGTTCTCCTTGCCCCTCAAGTGGCAGAGCCACTTAATTAGGTAATGTTCTCATGTGATTGGGGTGACTAATTCAACCTTGAAGTGGTTGTTCCGGTGACTCTGAGATTAAGCTCAACAGCTGGGCCTCTCTGGGAAAGTTGGCAGGGCTGGCAGGATCCACAGGGATGTTGAGTTCTTAGTCTCCCAAGCTGGACTTCAAGGGGCCTTGAACAAGTCACTTAACTTCTGTGACATTTGCTTTGTCCTGCAGATGCTCTGAAAGCAAAGACTATGTCTGGCTCAAGTCTGTATCCCCAGAACCTACCACAGAGCCTAGTACATGATAAACTGTAAAATGGGGATACCAGTATTATTGCAAGGCATTTCAGGTGATTAATGATATTTCCAATGAAAGCCTCTAAACTGCTCAGTGAAAGGTAAGGAATAAATAAATAGTCCCCTTTCTCAAGTTTCCATAATTGACTAGTCATCATTGATCTAAGTCTTTATATTTAGAGTTGGCAGATATTCGTTGTACTAGGAAAACCGTCTTGGCCCCTGCTTCATGCAATTTTAGTTTGCAGTGGGTGGGTACAAATGAGAGCAAACCAGAGGTAGAAGTTTTTTCCATACATAGGGCATGCCTAGTGGAAAAGCAGCCTTTTCAGCAGAGGAAGGCGGGTCGAATGTGCAGCAGGACAGAAAAGCCCAGAGCCCTGATTGTGCCCATTGTCCAATGACTGCTCCTTTGCAAGGGCTGATCCCTGACATTGAATGGCGGGAGGGTGATGACTGCATTGAAATATCTACTAATAGGCAAGGCCCTCCCTTCCTCCACACCCTTTCTCCTCCGTTAAAGACTTTCTGGAAAACAGAGCAAAAACAATGCGGCAACCCCAAGGGTTGATGAGAATTGCGTTCTCCCTGCAGCTTCTATTACCCTTGTGCCTTTGTCCCCATGATGTTGGTGAAGGGTATAGCTGTCAGGTGTCTCTCCTCCCTGGTGCAGGGTAATCTGGACTGATTGACTTGTCCATTGTCCTAACGTTGGAGCTAAAACAAAACAGGAAAAGCTGCTTGGTGAGGATGAAGAGGAACTTGGTGGCCAAATGCTATTGCTTTCCAGGCATTGGACACAAGGCTCATTCTCTCTGAGAAACTTACATCCAAAGGCAGTGACTTTGAAAGGACTGTGGCTGTGGAATTAGAGACAGATGCGTAGCTGGCCATGAGTAGATATTAAATTGTATTAAACTATGCAAACTGCATTTCTCATGCAAGGCTTGTTTCAACCTTACATCAGCCCTTGAGCTGCATTTGCATTTCTATAGAGAACGAAATAAAAGCAGCATGTCACTTACTCATTTCTATTCATAACTGTGAGCTATTGTTCTAGCTCTCATCTACCCTACACAGCACTGCCAGATTAATCTTCCTAAACCTCCATCAACAGTGAATTTAGTTCCCAGCATTTCACTGTATCAACTCATGTTTATAAGGCCCAGGTGCTGAGAGGGATATAAACAGACTTAAGACGGGACTAATTTTAAGGTAACCAGACATCCTGCTTTGTCTGGGACAATCGTTGCTTATGCTTGTTATCCTGATACAATTATTAATAGTGCCTCTTTTCACTCTCAAAAGTGATCCTGATTACACAATGAATTACTAGGTCGCCCTACTCATGTCTGTCAAGTGTTCATAAGATAAAAGGGGTGGTAAGGATGAAGGTAAATACGGTAATTACAAAACAAGGTAGAGATTGGAGGCAGAGGAGTTAGGTGTTTGCAGAAGGAAGGGAGCCACTGGGGCTGAGAGTGATAGAAGAGGCTCATTTAGTTCTAGGACTTGGCCTTGGCTTCGAAGGATGAGGATGACTCAAAAAAGAGGGAGAGAGGCTGGCAAAGGTGTGGGAGCCGTGTGAGTTAAGGGTATATTCCATGGCTCTCAAAGGGTCACCTAGGTAGAGCTTCCTCTGGGAAGAGGAGAGTGGGAGCTGTGAGATGGGAGGGACAGATCTGGAAGACTTGAAAGGCAGGTGAGGAACTCGTGCTTTACCCTGGGGGCTGAAGGAAGCCATAGAGATACTGGCATGAAATAGCCAAGGTGAACAGGAGGATTCAACTGGTCCTGGCGTAGGACTGGGCATCCCACCACCAGCTGAAGACAGAGGATCTGACCTGCAGAAGCTGCCTCCAAACCATCACACCATGCTGCCTGCCCCTCTCCCATGGCCTGCTCGATTTCCTAGGTAAATTAAAAATTTTCACCCGTGACAGGGTGAGGCAAATGGATGTTCTGGTGTCCTGGTTTCCAGAAGCCTCCAGCCAAGAGTTGACATGAGCTTGCTCTTTTAACATCAGTTAAAATAATTATTGTAACATGATTTCTGACAGGAGCAAAACAAAAGGATACACTTACAGGAGCAGGCTGTGCAGTCAGGACATGCGTGATCCTTCAGAGGGCCTTCGGGGAGTGAGTGACTCACCACAGGGTGTTTATCTGCGCTCCATATGGGGAATCATCTTCTTCATAATTTGCTCAACTGGAATCAGAGCTAAGGCTCCATGTGCACAGCGGAGAGATTCATTTTGTCTTGTGCCTGCCTCTTCCTCCTTTCTTCCTTCCTTTTTTCTTTCTTTCAACTAGAATCATTGAGTACTCAACACGTGGACACACCCTAAGCCAGGTGCTCTCACTCCATGGTCGCCACAGCAACCCAGTCTTGTGAGATCAGAGCATCTTCATTTTGCAGATGGAGAAAATAAGCTTCTGAGAGGGTAGGGGAACTGCTGGAGGTGACCAGCTGTATGCATTGTTGAGCACCTTGCCAGGGTAATTATCATCAAGCAGGTCTCTGTGAATAGTTTGATTATTTCTAGTAATGCTATTGAGGAAATGAAACCAACAGAGAGCAATACTAGGTCAGTGATACTCAAGCCTGACTGTGCATTAGCACCATTTCAGCACTAGGTGCTTAAAAAATACATGTTTCTGGGCTCTGTCCCCAGAGGTTCTGTTTTAGTGGCTCCTGATGGAGCTTAAGAATCTGTGCATTGGCCGGGCGCGGTGGCTCAAGCCTGTAATCCCAGCACTTTGGGAGGCCGAGACGGGCGGATCACGAGGTCAGGAGATCGAGACCATCCTGGCTAACACAGTGAAACCCCGTCTCTACTAAAAAATACAAAAAACTAGCCGGGCGAGGTGGCGGGCGCCTGTAGTCCCAGCTACTCGGGAGGCTGAGGCAGGAGAATGGCGTAAATCCGGGAGGCGGAGCTTGCAGTGAGCTGAGATCTGGCCACTGCACTCCAGCCTGGGCCACAGAGTGAGACTCCGCCTCAAAAAAAAAAAAAAAAAAAAAAAAAAAAAAAAAAAAAAAATCTGTGCATTGTTTTTTTTTAAGTCCACTAGAGTGATAGTTCTTCAACGATAGTATGTATCCATTATTGAAACAGATTCTGGGCTCCAGGCAGTGAGTGTCTGATTCAGGAGGTCTCCGGTGGGCCTGAGCATTGCATTCCATACTGCTGCTCTACAGAGGACACTCAGAACTGCTGCCGGAGAGGTTGCTAATGCTCATCCTGCCCACAAGCTGCTGGGGTGGAGGGCTCCTGGACTCTGCATGTTCAGATGGTTTGAGTCTATTCTGTGGAGGCCATGATAGGATTAGAGGAGCTAGACCCAGGGTGGCTACATAGGAGCCATCCCCTCTTCCTCGAAAGCTGGGGTAGACATCATTCACTGACCACTGTGCTCTTTTTAACTGAGTCCTGGCTCAAGGTCCCTCTCATCTCTTTGTAGCCCGCCCATACCAATCAAATGGTGTTGGCTCACAAGCCAAACCTATTATTGTTTGCTAAGCTAGACTTTCTAACCGGCACTTCCAAAATCAGTCATTGAAAACTTCTGTTTGTTTGTGGCACGTGTGCCTTAAGTGTTCATGAGAGGGAACCCCTTGGGGAGTGGTTCTTGACCTTGGCTGCACATTGGAATCACCTAGTAAATTCAAAACAAAAAGAAAACCAGACTATTGGGCTCCCTTCCATGTTTGAGGTGGGGTCCAGCTGCTAGCAGCTTTATGAGCATCACAGGTGATTCTAAGGTATGGTTAGGATTGGCAGCTGTTGGACGGAGGGGGTTGCTAGAAGCTGTGCAAACTCTAAAACTAGTTGCTAACTCCTGTCCTCTCCCTGAAGATTCCCCTTGCAGAGCATCGCCTTCTCTTCTATGCACCTCTTTATTTTTCTGCCAAACAGAATAGAAAGGAGAAGCAGCCAAAGACCTGTTGACAACATTGTTGTCTCAGAGGCTTCCTGACAGGAGGCTGAAATGGGCGGCAGCCATTGTCCTAGAATAGCTGGAAAGGAGCCATGTTTCTAGAGCAGCTCCCAAAAAACTCGTCTCTAACAGCAGAAGGTGTCACTCCCCTCGCTTTCTTTACTTTTTGTGAATTTTGGAATGCAGAGGGTCCCATCGAGAGGAAACGTTTTCACACAGAGACTCCCCAACTCTCAGCCCCACGGTTTTCCTCTCTGCTCAGTGACCGGCCTCCCAAATTTAGACTCGCGCCCCCTTCACGGCTGCCACTCGTGCTTTACTGAATTGCTGTTTGTGGAAGTCACCAACACACCCTAAACAGCACTTCTTCTCTTTGTTCTCCCTGAACCATCTGACTCTGTTGATCACTCTCTCTGTTCCTGGGGACCTAATTTTTCTGCTTCCTCTCCATTCCTTCTCTGTGTCCTTTACTAACCTCTTTGCCTTCTCCTGCTCCTTAGTGGGAGCATTTCCCCAGGGCCACCATCTTTGTCCCATAGCACTTTTCTACACACCGTCCTTCCCCTGGGATCCCTTCCCCAGATCCATGGCACAGGTCTGACTGATGTTCTGAGTCCCGGTCTCCTAACAGTGTCTGTAGAACTTCTGGTCCCACCAAATTGGCCCTGTCTCTGGATTCCCTCATTTTCCTTCTGGGCACCAGTGTCTATGCTGATCTCCTAGACATGGGCTCTTGGATGCATTAAACTCTGTTATCCGGTTCATGTCTGGTTCGCCTTTCCTTTGTGCTGCCTCTCACATTGGCCATTCCTGCCTTTGCCCATCTGTTAATTATTTGCTGCATGCCGGGCATAGTGCTACGTACATCTGTTATTCCAGTTAAACTTCACGGCAACCTTATGAATCAGTGGACAGGATTATTATTATCCCTGTTTTGTCTCTGAGGAGACAGGCTTGGAGATGGATAGGAACCTTGACTGACTAGTGGTGGAACAGAAATTCAAGCTCATCCTGAGCCTCTGAGCTCTCACTCTTCAGTGCTGTACTCGGTTGCTACCTCCTTGCCGCTGCTCTCAGTGGCTTCCCAGCGCATAGGGAATAAAGACTTAGGCCCTTGGATCAGCACACAAGGCATTTCTAGATCTACCCTAGCCCACTGTTGCAATCTCATCTCCTTTTATCCTTCCACGTATGAGTCAGTCCCACATGAACCGGTTTACTCCCAGGTCTCAGGGTCTCTTCATTCTTTTCCTCCTCTACATTTTTGCCCAAATCCTTGGTGATATCTGATACACCAAGGGCAGCACCACCTCCTATGCTTCACCTTCTTCTTATTTATTTATTTATTTATTTATATTTTTTGAGACAGAATCTCACTCTGTCACCTGGGCTGGAGTGTAGTGGCAGGATCTCAGCTCACTGCAACCTCCGCCTCCCGGGTTGAAGCAATTCTCCTGTCTCAGCCTCCTGAGTACCTGGGATTACAGGTGCCCACCACTAGGCCCAGCTAATTTTTTTTTTGTATTTGTAGTAGAGACGGGGTTTCACCATGTTGGCCAGGCTGGTCTCGAACTCCTGACCTCATGATTTGCCTGCCTCAGCCTCCCAAAATGCTGGGATTACAGGCGTGAGCCACCGTGCCCGGCCTTCTTGACTTTTCCAAACTGTCCAAATTCCAAAAGCCTTTTCTTTCAGTGTGTACTCTCTTGTGTTTTAAATTCCTTTGGTGGATTTTATTTTATTATATTTATTTATTTATTTATTGAGATGGAGCTCTGTCACCCAGGCTGGTGTGCAGTGGAGCCATCTCAGCTCGCTGCAATCGCCACCTCCCAGGTTCAAGTGATTCTCTTGCCTCAGGCACCCAAGTAGCTGGGATTACAGGCGCGTGCCACCATTCCCCAATAATTTTTATATTTTTAGTAGAGGCAGGGTTTCACCATGTTGGCCAGGCCGGTCTTGAACTCCTGGCCTCAAGTCCGCTTGCCTTGGCCTCCCTCCCAAAGTGTTGGGATTACAGGTGTGAACCACTGCACCTGGCTCCCTTGGTGAATTTTGAAGTGAACCTGTTCTCAACAGTTTTTTCAGGTATTTCAGCGTTATTCTCCTAGACGGGTTATAAACTCTTTAGGATGGGAACTACACTTATTTCGGTGTCCTGCAGTTCCTAGCATGCTTCCTTGCTAGAGCTGACCTTCCTAAGCTGACTTATTTTGACTTCATGCTCTTGTCTATGACAGCTGTCTGTCAATATGAATTGACAATATGTGTGCAGGACAATATGAATAAGGATGTGAGATGCTGCCCTACCCTCGGGGAGCTGTTCTGCTAAGGTGCCCAGATCTGCCAACAGCCCTCTGCACTGCTGTAATCTCTTGTTAGATTAGTTTTCCATCCTTCATGGGAATCGTTTTTCTTCCTACATTTCTGTTTTTAAAGTTTGCATAAAATGGAGACTTGGCTGCACACCAGGGAGGTTTAGGAGAGAAATGAGCGGTGGGACCTCCCCAGCCAAACCTGGCTGCAAACCGCTGACTGCACAGGAATACGAATGACTTCTAGTTGGATGGGCGGGGATCCTGGGGGATGCTCTTCATTCCTGCTTTTGATCAGGAGCTGGGCCAGCTTTGGAAATCTGAGTGTTGGCACAACCCTCAAGTGGTCCTCCTGCTCTGTTATCGTCTGGGGTTTCTTACTGGGTGTCCACACTCAGAAAGGACCCCCCTTTCCTGTAAGCTTGCTTCTCACTGACTGGCACAGCATGATGATTAGGTGGTAGAGGTGTGGGCCATACGGAACTACGAGCATAATTTTCACAAGCACTTAAACGTGAACAGAACAAGATTAACAATAGTAACATGCATTACACTGAGACATGACGCACAGGGAAATACCTCTAGGTACCCTTGGGACAACTGTAATGATCATGACTTAGGATTTCCAGATTCTCCTGACTGCTTGGACTTGGTTCCAGGCCCAGGTCACAGAACCTTGGTTACCTAAAGGAAGAACGGCCAGGGTTGGTGATACGGTTTGGCAGGGTTGGTGATATGGTTTGGCCCCCACCCATATCTCATCCATAATTCCTACGTGTTGTGGGAGGGACCCGGTGGAGATAATTGAATCATTGTGGTGGTTCCCCCATACTGTTCTCATGGTAGTGAGTAAGTCTCGTGAGAGTCAATGGTTTGATAAGGGGCTTCGCCTTTCGCCTGGCTCTCACTTTCTCTTGCCTGCTGCCATGTAAGACATGCCTTTATCCTTCTGCCATGATTGTGAGGCCTCCCCAGCCACGTAGTACTGTGAGTTTGTTAAACCTCTTTTTCTTTATAAATTCCCAGTCTTGGGTATATCTTTA